TGGCTAGATTGCACTGGCTAAATTGCCCATCTACGGCTGAAAGACAAGTCGACAGTTGAGGCAGCAAATGTTCAGGCCGTATAAACATACACACAACACCAAGCTACGCTCAGGGACTTCAAGCTGCAGGGTGCAGACAGGCTTTGAATGAGAAGACTTAAAGGCCGTACTATACATGGCTTGTTCTCAAAAACACGTAAAAAGGGAAAGCTTGCAAACAACCCGAAGGATGGGTGTTCAGGATCATATTTGACCTTATGATAATAGCATAGGCTGAGGTACAGTCTTCGTTTGTTACTGGCATCTCTTAGCATACAAACTAAAAACAGACCATGTTCAGAAGGCACCCTGGCAAGTCGAAGCCCAATGTTGTAAAAGGACCTTTATATATATATGTATTTTTTAAGAGGACGGGCGCGCCGAGCCATATACAACAGCACCGTAGTCTAGACGGGAACGAAACAGCGAATTGCAGAGTCACAGGAGGCACCTTCTGTCAGAATCCCAGTACATATATCCGAGTACCTCGAGAACATTAGCAGATTTAAGAAATTTTCGCTTCAGTCCCTTTAGATGGGCCTTTAAAGTAGGTTTCTTATAAAAAAAACACTAAAAAAACAAGATCTTGTGTTTATGCTTAAAGGTTATGTCAGTATATAATCATCTGCAAGCTGGGATCTAGTCACAACCCTCGAAGCAGTGAAAAGGCACACAAACCATTTATTCTGGTGCAAACCGGAAACAACTTTTATCGGCGAACTAGCTTATCCAATTCATTACTATCTGAAATTGGCGCTCACAGATTGAAACGTTGCATGAGAAAAAAGCAATCTGGACAGCGTCTACATGAAATAAATAAAATCAACGATGGTGGTATCATTGCAGTTAGGCTCTTTATCTTAATTGCAAAAAAGGTAACACTCAATACGCCTCCGTTTTGTACACAATTCTCCTGAGCGAATACATCGGAAAGCGTGCATCCCAAGTGGACCTGACAAGTACGGTCGGACAAGTTCCTTATACAAGGCAGCGTGCGACTACGAACAACACACCTAGACAAGCCCCGAGGTTTTCCCTACCGCCCTGTCGTACTCTAAGCATTTTTAAATAAAAAAAATACAGAAATGCAATGCTGCCGGATTACAAAAGCCTGAGGTGCACAAGTCTACAGAAAAACAAATTGATTAGAGATTGATCGACCTCACATAAAACCATACTGGTTTCCAAAACAAAAAAACATGTTGCTCTAGAACGAATCTTTCGTAGGTTTCTGCTAGATTTAGATAGAAATTTCCCACACACGATTAAATAAAGGAAACAAATGTCCCAAGCATTCAATCTACAAGGGCCTCAGCATTTCATTTAATCCCATTTGGATCAAGTGCTGCCTACTTCCCTACTGCAAAGGCCATTGAAAACTCGCACATTGAGAACGGCCGGTTGTGTAACCAGTATTAGTTCCAGAGAAATCGCTGGCTGTTTTTTTTTTTTTTAAGTGACGCCGATGACGAAGGGAAAATAGAAATGCTGAGTGGTAGGTACCCTGAATTTTCCTAACCGGTTTTGCATTAAAAAAAATGTTCAGTTAACACACATATTTCACCCTTGAGTTTCTCTTCGCTTGTTTTCGTGTACAAAAAGCTCTTGCTGTGCACTGTTTGAATTTTATCTTAATATGAAGAGTCGTGTGCCGTAGAAGAATTCCCCAAGCCTTATTTTGAGCGTTCAATGCGGTCGTAAAGTCCTTGGTTCACCAGGGCTTGCATTTCTTACAATATTATCGGAAGTTCGGCGAATTGACAGAGAAGCAGCAGTTATAATTTGTTCTGTTAGGTACGTACATGGTAGCCTCCTCAGGAGACAGATCGAAACAAGGTGGGACCTATGACAGCCTTCAGAGAAAAAAGAGGTCATTCGGCTCTATCAAACTTGAACCTTGGAACAAAGGTTCGAAGAAAAGGAAGTGTCACTGCTTTTCGCGATGTTCTCGGTAACTTTGAATGGAACAATATATTTTAATTTTTTTCAGAGGAAAGAAATCGGGAATATGCTAGATGGTGACTACTTCAGTTTGTACACTGAGGCTAATTATTGGACACATCAGCGACGTTCTCCTTAATTGAGCACTTTGCGGTAGCGTCCTTTCCTCGACAGTTCCGTGACACATGGCCGAACCGCTGAGGGTTCAGCACTTAACGTCGGACACGGCACTGAAGGCCTTTACAGTCTGCCCTGTGGTTATATCGAAATTCAAAAAAACATACTTTGTCTTTCGTTCCACAAGTGCTTGGCGGACGGTTATTCGTCGTGCACTTATAACTCCTTGGCTGGAAAGGCCCTCCACTATTCTGGCTGATGTGAGTCAAGCAAGACAGTCTAGGAAACGATCCCTTAAAACTGTTCAGTTTGGGGTGTGGACTGACGCTTACTTTGTAATTGGAAAGGAGACTCAAGAACTTTGGAGACCAAGGAGGGAGATAGTTTGCCCGTGTGCTTTTCACCCTCTGTGCGCAGTGCAAGAAACTTTGGGACTTTCTGCAGTTCAAAAGCTAGCGTCACTGTGTCAAGTGCTTCGGTGCGGCATATTTTCAGAGGCCGATTAAGGAAGTATTTGTCGCGCAGACCCTAAGCGATGGGAGGAATATTCGGTGTCGGTGTGCACCGCCCACCACGATGCCCAACGAGGGTGTATGTAATGTGCCATAACAAGAAATGCTTCGCTGGCACAATTACTCTACCAGTACTGCCTAGCCACGATGCATCAGTGTGGATCCAGGGACCGGAACTGTTTTCATCTAAGGTTGGCCCTTGCCGCCTCATAAACTGAGAAAGGAACGAAGAGAATGTGGAATAAAAGAGAAAGTGGGGAGAGAAAAAGTGAACGAAGGAAAAAGAGGGTAGAAGAGGGGACTGACTGAATCATCCTGGTCGGGCCGAGCCAGGGCACCCGACTACGAAAAGCAGGGGCCGAAGTGGTATATCGCCTCACCCGGGGTCCCCGAAGACTCCAAACATATCCTGGCTTCAGCGCAACCATAAGGATACCCTTTTCCCCGGACACGCACTAAGCCACACACAGCGAGGTGTGAGTTGATGAAATCCACGTTGCGTGGGGTTTTGCGGTGACGCCACTCACGAAACACCTACTGATGCAGGTGCCCCCTGCGGTGGATTTGAGGGACCACATGGCTGGGGCCCGTGTTGACGCCACTCGCGATGCACCTAACACCTAAGTTGCAGGCGCCCCCGGCGGGGTGTTTTTATGCGTACCGAGCGATGAGCCAATATTTTTCGAACGTTGATGAGAAAAAATGTATATTGTTAAACGTTACAATATGCCTTAAACTAAAAACATTCTTAACAGGTTGTATGTATTTCCGTCATCTGAAGATAGATTGCTATCAACTGAAATATTTTTTTTTAATTCGTTTGAGCACAATGTGCCATACTATTAGTGGAATAGCTTCCAGGTAAGAATCATCAATCTACTGACCTATCTAAAGTGGATGCTCATTTTGCTAAACGTTTAAACGAGAGGCTGTAGGGCACTTTCAAAAAGAGACTAGTTTAAACCCAACCTTAATGTTTCGGCAGTTTCCTTTCCTTTCTATTAAACCTCTTCATATCTTAATTAAAATAATATCCTGCCCGACCACTTTTTTAAACACACCCATTTTAAATATCGGTCTTGCGGTTGCCATGAGTGGACGCAGGAGCGGGACCTACTTTCATTTTATTTTGTTTACGTATTTTTCTTTGCTCGCGTGCCCCAAAATATGAGTGAAGTGACGGCGCTCGTGCGGGCTAGTGCGAGAGAGGTGTAAGATGTGGCTGGTGGCGGGTACGAGCCAAAGGGGATTTCGGCTGGCGCACTTCCAAACACGACTGGCTTGTAAATAGGTATGTTTCTATATTCCCACAACCAAATCCTGTACACCTTATTTCAATTTGCAACCATCAGCGGCCATGTGCTGCCTCCCTCTCGGGCCCGGCGAAATCACAAGTTAAAGAACCATCTTTACTCCCATCTTGCCAAATATGCTATATTGTTAAAATATTTCATGGTACAAAGGCTACAAATCTGGGCATAGTTTGACTTAGCATTTTGCAGCCCTAATCAGTAACTAAAATGCCGAACCCTCCCCCTCCAGTATATATTTAAAGCTGAATTTTAGTTAGCTTCTAGTGATTTATACGTTTATTATTGCACACGAGACTGTTCTCGGAGTCCTGTGCGTAAAATTAATAAAGATTCCCAGTTGTATTTCAAACTCGCATGAATACATATTTGACATATTGCATTTGAAACAGGAGGTACGGTTTCCAGTTTGTTTAGTCATTTCATCAAAAGCCAAACGATTCTTTGAAACAGACTCCAAGATGACTCTGAAGCTCGCATAAAGTCTGAACGACAAAAAGCGCTGATACAGTACACTTCTATACTGCAGTCTGCTTCAAAAAAAAATATTTTGGGGTGAATTATCTTGAAAACGGGTAGTGCGACCTTATTCAATCTAAAGAAAATTTATCACCCCTAAAATGTTACCACTTTTTGCAGCTTCCTACTTTGCTTCAGGTTAAGTCCATACCTGAATCCCGGCTATCCTTTTACTAGCTCCAGATAATGATTATTTTTTGTAACTATATGTATTATACTGTTTCCATCAAGTAATGGTGAAACATCGTCGGCGGCTAAATTAATCCCCACGGAAGTTGACTGCCGAAACAAAACGTATCCAAGTATTAAAAATATTTTATCGCATTTCTTGCTTGCGCTAGACAAATGCGGCGAGATGTCTTTATTATCTGTTTTTTTTTTTAGGATTGTCCTCACAGAATCCTAATCTTGTTTAAATCTTCAGGTGCTTTTTTTATACACCGATCATCACTTTGTTGTTCACAGATAATACTGACCCACATCACCCTATGTCGTTCATTTGATATTTAAGTGTGTCTGCGTTATAATTATTGCCGACTAAACAAGAAAAGGTTGTACATACCGTGTGCAACATCACGTTGAGATATGTTAGAAGGGAAGAGTTTGGAGAGGGCTCTTTCATCCTGGACGCCAGAAACGACGTATCGCAAAGAAAGTGTATACCCAATTTTATACTTGGGCGGTTTTCTTGATTTGTAGACCCTAAAAGGTTAGTATAGATAAGCTAAATGTTGTTTCTAGGGGAAATCTAAAACCACAAACAATCTCATGCGCGGTCAATACACTGATGTATGCAGGGTGTCTCAAATCATTTTAAACATCTGTAAAATAAGGGGGTGGTAGTTAGACAAGTTCTGTTTGCACCGTGTATTTACAGGCTCGGTGTATATTGAATAAGATGATAAACGGCATCCTAATTTGACGAATTAACTAAAGTTTGAGGATGAACTTTTTAAATACTGGTTTTATAAGTCATGTTGCAATTTCAGTAATGACAGCCATTACTATTAGAGACCAGACCAAAAGAAGGAATGTGCAAAAATGTTCTCTTTTTACACATTATTTATCAAATTGCGCGTTTCTTTTTGCCTCATTTAATATTTGCATGATAAAAAACACATCTATTTTTGGCCACAGTTAGGGTTAGAAGAATCACGTAGTTCTTTAGGCTACGTGGTCAGTTGTTTGGTCGGGGCACTGATCAAGGACACTCTGCCGAGGTACTGACCACATGATTTAAGCGACGACATTACTCTTCCAAGCGTCATTGTTGGCAAGGCTTGCGACGCTCTTCTTGAGCGAAATTTGTAAATCAGGCGAAACAACGCGAGAATTCTATTACTAAATCTTTGTGAACTTTTCGCAAACGTTTTCTTAATTAAAAGTTCCATCAACAGGAACTTCCAATCGCAAATTCCAACACGACCCCGAAAACCAATAATTAAAAAGTTGATTAAGACACGTTCGATCATTATCAACTGACCAGTATGAACATATGCTCATCTAGTGGCCGCTGAACCAGTTAAGTACATGGTGAAACCAGAACTCGGCAAAGTCACCTCCCCTATATTTAAAAAATTAGTATAATTAAAATCACATTCCGTTCATTTCTTTATTAAGCACACTATTGCAAATTTCCCTCAATATACTGTCCTGGAGCTTTCTAGAGAAGCCAATGAATCCGCACTTTAGAGGCGTTTGGCGAATGACATGGATGGAAAATTCTTTCCACGACAAAAATATGTCATGTGATGAAACAGTGTGTATGCCTTAAACACTCGCCCAATGCACTCTCACAAAGAAAAACATAATAATCAGGTGCGGACGTTTTCTCGACTTCAATATTTGGCGACCATTTTGAATACAGCGCGTCATTGGGTGCACGGAGTGAACTGTGGAAGTACGTACACTTAAGCATCTGTTGAGATTGGAAACCACAATTTAACAAATAACCATCTACATATTTTATATCACCACTCCCCCTAAGAAATGTCTGTAATCTTGGAGTGCGTATACTGTCACCTTTGATGTGGTAAATTAAGACATTTTCGTTAGAATTGCAGGTTTTTGCTCTAGGTCCTTTATCAAGTAGTACACAAATTAAAAGAGCAATACATCTTTATTATAAAGCATAATTTGAAGGAGATAATTATAAAAAAAACTATAATGAAAACATTTTTGTTTCATGCGAGTTAATCAAGCAATATAAATGTTCACAGTCTCCGCTCTCGTTGTGCAGAGCGTGTGCGCATATTTGTTTGGAGCTGTCCTAAAGGCGTAAATAGGCTGCCCTAAATTGAGACATGAAACCTATGAAAAAAAAAACTTTTTATGGTGAATGTTTAAGTAAGATCAAACGCGCAATTAACAAGAACATTGACAAAGGTATGTGGCAAGGACATATTAGTGTTTAAACACCTCTATCTTTCAGCATGAATCCGAACAAGAATGTTTCGAAGTCCACGAAAGGATGCTATTCTGCAAACTCTAACTCAAATAAATAATAAATCCATGAATGAACGCTTATTTAGACACTCCTGTCTGGGAGGTTCGCAATCCCAACAATCCAGAAAGGTCCATTATATCAGGCGTAGGCACACCAACCGAACGAATTTCAGAATTTGTAGACCACTCTATTAAACATATACCCCCTCCAACAATCGTACGTAAAGGACACCAGACACTTTCTTAATCATATCGACCATATGAACGGATCCGGCTTAATATCACAGGAGAGCATTCTTGTCACTATCGACGTGAGCTCTTTGTACACTAACATCACACATAATGAGGGACTGTCAGCAGTGGAAGAATTCCTTTTTCTTCACCCTTCGTCTCTCGCATACAGTAGCTGTATTCTGCGCTTATTGGAATTAATTTTAGACGGCAATAACTTTATGTTTGATGATGATCGTTATTTGCAAATTCAAGGCGCAGCCATGGGGTCGAGAATGTCCCCAAATTACGCTAATATTTTTATGGGCAAATTTGAGGAGACCTTTGTGTGGACTTACGCCAAGATTCCCGCAATATATCTTCGGTATATTGACAATATATTTATCATTTGGAATGACACTGAAGATGCACTCCTCTCTTTTCTAAGTTACCTCCGGACAATTAAATTTAACTGTAATTACTCAGCAGACTCTATGAACTTTCTCGACGTTAACGTTAAAAAGATGGGAAGCCATTTGATAACGCAGTTGTACAGAAAGCCTACACACAAACGTCAGGTTCTACGCTATGATAGCTAGCACCCGAAATGTAAAAAAAAAATAATATACCTTACAGTCAATTCCTTCGGTTGCGTAGAACTTGTTCTGAAGAATCTAACTTTAAGGAAAATGTAACGTCCTTGGAGAACACACTATACAAAAGAAAATATCCCGCATCTATTCTCGACGACGCCACAAGAAAGGCATCCGCTCTGGAACGTAGCACACTCCTTGAATCCACACGACAGCTTCACTCCAACGAAACAAGGGTGCCGTTGGTTATAAACTACTAATCGAACCTATCAAGCCTGAATTCCACATTGAAACGCAATTTAAACATCCTACATGCCGAGGATTAACTTTAAAAAAAAATATTTCCCGAATCACCATTTGTCACATTTCGTAAGGATCGGAATCTTGGGAGGATGTTATGTCCCTCGTATATAAAAAAAAAATTCAAGCGGTGGTTGTGGTCCCTGCCTCAACACTCCTTGCCAACTTTGCCCTTTGGTTTTGACCGCTGATAAAATTTCGAGATACGCATCAGATTTCTACGTAAATATTAAACAGGATATCGACTGCAAAACCCCTGACGTGATATATATTATTAACTGCACGTTGTGTAAGAAGCAATACGTAGGAGAAACTAAAAATTCTATGAAAGAGCGATTTTATGGCCATAAGTCTGACCTTTTGAATAAAGGAAAAACACCAGTAGCTAAACACTTTAACTCCGACGACCACGACATTTATACGCACCTAACAATTATCATCGTGGAAAGCAGTTTCAAACATGATATTAGGCGCAAAAATAAAGAGTCATTTTATATATATAAATTTAAAACCCTAACCCCGCTTGATATGAACATTTCAAAAAGAAACTTATATAGGCTGTTGTAGGTTTTTAGTTTTTAGTATACTACAGGCAAACCACCTCCCCATCGCAGAGGAGAGCGGGGAAGAGCTAAAGGTCTTTGAGGGAAGAGCTAGAAACTTTGGGATGTGGGGACGTCGCCCGCTAACTTCCCTCCTCTTTCCTTTTTTTTTTGGTGGGGGGGGGGGGGGGAGGGAGATCGAGCTGGGAAGCGTTTTAAGGAGTATTTCTCGGTATTCTGTTGAGCGGTGCTACCCACGTGTGACATTTCTGGTGTCCGTTTACACACACTTCGGTCTTATTTATGACCTTCGTTTGCTTCGGCGTTATACTGGCTTAGGCTTACTCGACTTGACCCCTGTATGTTGTTATTTATCTGGATCTGGAGCTCTAACTCTAACGTGACGGAGGCTCTTTGAATAATTAAAAGCGCCGAAAAAGACAAGGACAAAGAAGTGGAACGACACGAGGCGCACTCGCAACTGTGGTATATTTCGAAAAGTACCTGCATTTATAGGCCCAGAACCCTGTCAGTCATCAGCGTGTCCCATCTCAACGCTTCTTTCAAATATTCAAACTCACTCTTTGACAGGGCGAGTGACGCTTCACTTACACACTCAACGCCCTTATCCCTAATTGCATACGCCTCGTGCACCTCTCTGCTTGTTCGGTCGCGATAACGAGCCAAAATCTTAATGTCATGTAGCACTGGCGTACACGTTCATCTATTACAATGAATGGCGAGTGGAGGCCGTTGCCTGTGATGTATTTTCTTGGTTTCGCTAACGAGTGCGGCGACGGTGTTCCCCTTAAAACTACCACTTCTTTCTTTTTTTCTTTTTTTTGTGTGGTTTGTTGGTATGTAGTTTTTCATGCTCAATGTTTTAATTGTACTATTATATATATGACTTTTTTTTCGCTTTCTTTCAATGTTCCTCCTCTCCTTTGGTCTCTCTAAAAGCACTTTGCAACTTTATTTTCTCCACACTTGAAGAAGGGAAGTCTCTTCCCGAAACGTCATGTATTAAAGCCTCTACTGCTATTCAAATATTTTTTCTACGTTTACGAATTTCTTGGTGAAGCCTTGCTCATTAATACAGTTAATACGTTGAGAAGGTTTAATTCCCGTTTACAATACTAGAAGTGTTTTAGCACTCAATACTATTAGAGAATGGTGACATCCATTCTTACACCATTCTCACACCTCCCCTTCTTCTCCAGGATGCGCTGTGCATAATGCCCTGAAATATGGCACCCCCTGAATACTTCATTTACAGAGCTTGCATGCGTCGCAATTGCTGCATCATGACGGTTATTTCTGCTTAAGGGTTCCCTGGAGCTACTACTTCTGTGGTGTGAAACTAACACAGTAAACAGAACGTTCATGGCAGATAAAATACTGGCATTGCCGCGAATGATTTTACGGGCAAGCGACGCATAGGCCATGGGGAGTACAGTCGATCCTTGGATATTACTACCAGGCGAGATTGTCACGCGTTAACGCCATCAAGCGGCAACGCTCGCAGCTACAATGTCCTTGGCCGCGCAGAAAGTTGTGACATCAAGAGAGCGATATGCATTGCGCTTCTTGCTGGTTGACTGACGTGAGAGGT